GCTATAGTAATAAGGGATGTGGACATTTCAATAGTTATGATGTAATTATGATGCAATAATATACTACTTTACAAATAAGTAGAAGGAATTTAAGTAATTGAACAATTTAAAAGGAAATATACACATCACTTTATAATAACTAAATAACTCCATGCTGGTGAGTTAGGAACTTTGAAGTTTGTGTGTGTGCAGTCTTGTTGAGAGGGAAGAATGACTTCAGTCAGTAGTTCTCAGCACTGAATTCACATCACAATCACTTGGGAAGCTTTAAAATATAATAACACTGATGCCTGGGCCCTATCTTCAGAGACTATTCTGATATGGCTGGTGCTTTTTAGCAACATTCCTGTTGATTTTGTGTTTGTTTGTTTGTTTGTCCAGTCAGAATTGAGAACTCATAGATTTGTGATACCATAGATTTTAGAGAAATAAATTCAACAACAAATACATTGAGTATGTATAGTATGCCAGTCACTTGCTACTTTCTATATATGCATAGTTGGATAAAATAAGATTTTTCTTTTTATAAATGAGTTTAGGATCTAGAGGGGACACATATATGTGAGATATCACTACAAATTATAAATAATTATATTTCAGAAGGAATGTTCCATGAGTAATAAGAGTAATATTAAGTGTTGAGAAAATAATGACGTAGGCTTGATCCATTTCTCATTTCCAAAGTTTTAAAATTATTATTTCTTTACACACTTTAATATTTGCTTTGCCAACATAAATTCTTGTTATAATATTGCCCTTTTTCATAGGAGTAAAATCTAAAGACTCATTTACGGAATAGGATAATATGCTGTTTGTTACACTTTTCCTATGGGTTACTTTTTACTTCACATTTAATGTTTTTCTTTTCACTTACGCATTCTTGTTTACCACCAAATACTGTATACCATATTTTACTGACAATTCAAGGAGTTTAGAGTTTTCAACTCAAGATGCCCTCAAAATTGATTATTTGTTGTGGCTCAGCTGGTAAAGAATCCACCTGCAATGCAGGAGACCTGGGTTTGATCCCTGAGTCAGATCCATCCCCTGAAGAAGGGAAAGGCTACCCACTCCAGTATTCTGGCCTGGAGAATTCTATGGACTGTACAGTTCATGGGCTTGCAAAGAGTCAGACACGACTAAGTGACTTTCAGTTCACTACTAGCACAACTGTCATTTCAGAAATCATTAAACAAGCTTAAAACCTGCATTCAAGGAACTTCTCTGGTGGTCCAGTGGCTAAGACTCCACGTTCCCAATGCAGGGGGCCTGGGTTTGATCCCTGGTCAGGGAACTAGATCCCACATGCCGAAACTAAATATCTCACATGCTGCAACTAACGACCCATAAGCTGCAACAACGATCGAAGATCCTCCGTGCTGCAGCTAAGATCCAGTACAGCCAAATAAATTTAAAAACAAACAAACCATATTCGATGTTGACACTTTCTGAGAGAATATACTTTATTTTGTAAGGAATATTTTGTTTTTCCTTCTTCTCTCTCTCATTTACCGTTTTTTAAAGGGAAGAAATATCCTGTTTTCTACATTCCCTTATGAAATATATTTAAAATTCACCGTTAACAATAGAGATTAAAGTAAATGTCTCATGCAAAATTCCAGAAAACAATTATTTTTAACTCTTAAAAACTTATGTTTAAAATACCTAGTTTTATTGTTACTTTTACGGCTTAAGTTGTTACTTCTCTAAGCCTTCTATTGAAGCAGCACCCCGGGCTGCAGTGGATAAAGTGGTGATAGATGCTGTAACCCATGCAGTCCACCATAACAGGAGCATTCTATGCTCTTATGTTTTAAAAGTTGTATTTACTATTTCTTTTATATTACTTAAAATTTTAAATTAAATTATATGGCTTTGTTTTTATCTCTCAGACATCAGATAAATGAGTATGTATGTCCTGGACTTAGTATGTCTCCTGTCTGGGACTTTGATCTCATACTGCAATTTGAAAAATAAAAAAAAATTAAACTTACTTTCTTAAGGAAAGACAAGTGGTAACATTTTTTAGCCTTATGAATATTAATTAATGTAGTTAAAAGAAACTGACTTGATAAATTGAAATTGTCCAAATTGATTATTGTAGTTGATGTGAAATTTTGAAAATCTTCACACGAGGTGAATTCTGCTTTGGTCCTTACTAACACAAAGCCTGGAAAACTACTCTTGTGCCCCAAGCTATATAACCTTAAAGTGTAACCAGTAGGCTTCTCTGGTAGAAAAGAAAATATTCATGTTTGGCAAGCAAATAACTACTAGAACTAGAAAAAAGATACTGAGAAATGTATATGTATAATGTTTTATACATAATAATATAAATTTTATATGTAAGGTCTTTTTTCTGTTTTCCATCCAATATCACTAAACTTCAGAACTGAACTTTTGTTGCCTTAATGCTGTATATAGTCAAAGTGCAGTTTGCATCTTCTCTTTCTTCTATTTCTGTGCTTACTACAGATGAATAAAATATGGTTCTTCCTTCAATGATACAATATCTAAAATCTAATCATATAATATGCATATAAACATACAAAAGTAAAGTTGCAGAGACATATGGAAAGTACTATTATGTTATCAAGTTTTAAACTGTGTATTAGAAAATTGGCATTTTAGCTTTTGTCATCTTAAAATCCTATGTCATATAAGTGTTTGATATCTACTTATGTCTGAGAAAGGATGACCAGGACAGTTAGAAGTGGCAGAAGAGCAAGATAAACTAAACCCATAATTTTTTTTGTTTGTTTGGGCTCAGAGAACATAAAATAGTTTCCCTTCCTATGGATGGGAAAAAAGAGAGAAATAGAGATCCTTCCTTTTTGTGTTCTCTCTTTAGAACCAGCTATGTAACTGGAGCCAGCTCCAGAGATAGAGGTAGTTCCATCATTAATTGTCAAACAACTCCATCAGCAGCTGCACGGCTATAGCAAATACTAGAGCCAGTCCCAGCAGCACCTCTGAGCCAGAGCCAGGGCCTGCACTAGCACTGGATAAAGGTTGGTCTGTGTGTAGATCCAGAGCCAGCTAGCTTACCAGCTCCTTTTTAACGCCCGCTCTGGCTTCAGCTCTAGAGGTGACATCAGCTCCAGATCTAGAGTTGTCTAGAGTCATTTCTCTCAGCAGTTCTCACACCAGGCCTGGCACCAGTGCCAGAATTAGAATCAGTCCCAGAACTGAAGCCAATTCACAACCAGTTCTAGCACCACTGTCTGAGCTAGAGTTGGTTTGGCACCAAATCCAGAGAGAGAACGAGTCAACAGCACACCTAGTGCCAGCTTCCACGCAGTATCCAGCACCAGCACCAGAGATGGAGTCTCTCCACAGCTAGAGCCAGCTCGGGCACCAGCTCCTGGACCCATCCTTCAGCCTGAGTTGGCACCAGCTCTCAGGCCATCCTCTGGCTCTGGTGTGACTCCACCTCCAGAGCTTCCCTTACCCTCCTCTGGAATGGCGTCTTTTTTATTTTTGTAGTTTCACCTTTGTGTTTCATATATTTTGTGGTTTGCTATATTTTAATTTTTCAGTACACATAAAATAATATTTTTAACTTATTTATTATTAAAAATGCTGTTAGTGATTAAAGGGTCTTGTATTTTTCAATTTTCCTGAGCCAATGTATGTACATGGATGTTTTCTAATATTTTGCAGCTGTCCTTAAATTTTGCTAGATCTCTTCTTGTCCTTTTCAACTACTCATTTTCTAATCTTAAAAATGTGAATGGCTCCCAAGAATCAGCCTAGGTCTTCCTGTTTATTCTTCTTTGGAGACTTTCACTTAATGCTGTGCCTCAATTAATGCAAAATATATGAGGATAGCAATAAGCCATTTTGTTAAAATGTAGAGAAAAGTGTTGCCTATAATTGTTTTCAATAAAAATTATTTTAAAGGTTTAATAAGTTCATATGATGCAATAATGATCTTGTCATTTTGATAAAGGTTATGGCAGCCAAAATACAATGTGCTCAGACTTGTCTGACTCTTTGCGACCCCATGGGCTGTAACTGCCAGGCTCCTCTGTCCATAGGATTTTCCAGGCAATACTATTGGAGTGGGTTGCTATTTCCTTCTCCAGGGGATCTTCCTGACTCGGATTGAACCCGAGTTTCCTCCATTGGCAGGTGGCTTCTTTACCACTAGTGCTACCTGGGAAGTTTTTAAACACAATGGCTTTGCTGAAAACAGTCATTTAGGCTTTTATTAGATCATTCCTGTCCCCAGACTATCACCTCCCTGTTTCCAAGTTGTTGATTCTGTCTCCTGGGGAAATATAGATTCATGATTTGTTCTATTTCTTCACAGATCTACTTAGAACAGAGAATATTTACAAATCAGTTACCTACTTTGGGGGACCACATTTATTCCCAGCATGTGTTCAAAGCTTCAAAAGGGAACACGATCAGGAACAGAGTGAAGGAGTGACATGGAGACTATGTTTCCAAAACCCATATACATGGCCAACACTTAATTAGTAGAAAATCATGGAGGAAAACTCTATAGATGGGTGGCATGACTGATCAATAAGGATTTTTAATAAAAATTTATTAGGCAAATATTTATTTGTAGTATCATTGAAAGGGGTATAATCTTTAATCTAGAAAATTAAAATTGCCAGCTATATTAAAAAGACCAAGAAAATTGAAGTCCCTGGAATAAATTAATAAGCAAAAAGCTCTTTAAAACATATTCTAAATATGCCGTAGAAAGAGTGTAAAATAAGCAACAATTTACAGTCACAGTGAGGATCTGTTCTTGTGACCTCACTTTCTATGTCAGTCTGCATCACTGGGAATTCAAAAGCACCTTTTAACTAAGCAATAAAGGATTTCTTTTAAAATTTTCATTTCTCAGAAATAGCATTTGTTAACAATAGATTTAGAAATAATATCATGTGGAAGTTATTAGCATCTACATGATCCTTAAACCAGATGTTAACTTTCATTTACATGCTCATTTTTCTTACACGTGATCTGCTTTCTCCTTTTAGGAATGGCAAAATTCTATTCAGAAGAATGCAGGACTTGCATTTATTGAGCTCATCAATGAAGGAAGGTAATTAATTGTACAGTATTTAGTTAACTAGTCAGTGTACATTTTATTCCACTGGGTAACTGCTCTTTTCCTGCCATCTGTTCCAAAAATACATAACAGTATATTTTAGTTAAATGATTTATCACAAGGGTACTTATACGTTAAAGGAACAAAGTTTAAAATGTCTAGCAGTTTTCATTTGGGAAAGGGGAAGCAGGTATGAAATAAAGGGACAAAGTCTGTAAGATTTTTGTGAGATCTGAGCCATGTCTTACCAAATAGTAAAGTTGTTTTACACAGATCAAGTGAACTCAGTCTGCAGTCCCATCTGCTGCTCCATCTGTTTTCAAAGCCGTCTTCAGTGTTTACTCCTTCAACCCATCTCAGTTCATGTGAAGTAGTTTCATTCGACCATGTCATGCTGTCTGCTATCCCTAAAAATGTGAGAGAAGTTAAATGTAGGAACTATGATGGTCTGGCTAGGAACCTCTTTATACCATTGTTAAAATGATGTTATGGTAAGATTTATGTTTGAGCTCATTATTGCATTTATCACTTTTGTGGTAAACTGTCGCTCATTATGATTTTTCCTATACTTTATTGGCAGTGAATACACTAAGACAGATGTACAGACAACATTCTGACATGTACTGCTTCTATTAGCCAAAGACTTGCATCCCTTACAACTTGAGTTTCATCTGTGACAGAGTGCATTCTTTGGAAAATAATGCCTGAAGATTTGGCATAGTCTGTGTCTTATTTGAAACCATATTTAATTATATTAATAAGGAAATAATTTTATTATATATAATACTTACCTTTATCAAAAGAGGTGTCATGAAAGTATTTTACAGGGTAGTCTTTGAAACCTATGTTGTATATGCTATAAATACCTATTTTGAAAAAAGTTAAATACAATTTAGTATTTTTTTTCCATCAATGTTTTATATTCTGAGAAATAGCCTCAGTTTTTACAATTCATCTTACTGTGCATTTCTCACTTAGATATTTTATGATTGAATAATTTTTAGTCATAATAATACAACTCTTAAATATTAAAATGAAATTTGCCCTACTGCCAAGCAAAAGATACAGGAGAATATTAATTTTCTTTTATAGCATAATCATTTTAAACATAGTAATATACTCTACTTCTTATAAAACTTTATTGTGAAAATAATTGATAATAATTATTATCCATGTTCAGGCAATGAAAAATAGAAAAAAAAATTCTTTGTTCAGGCAGTTCATTGTCATATGAGTTATAAAATCTCTCATTTCACATAATGCTAGTTGTGCTAACTCATTTCAGCTGTGAAGGAAAAAACAAAAATTATGCCGTTACCAGTAGTACTGAAGAGTTATCAAATTGAACCTCCAGCTTGTAAGATTAAGATTATAGTTATTTCTTATAAAAGAAGAAGAGTGAAAATTTTGGTAATAGAGATTTTTACCTTTTGAAACTGTATTGTTATTCATTGGTAGTGTTTGGCATTTATTTTATTTTAGGGAAGGAGTTGGAATTATAGAAAGTAGTTATAATTTTTAAAAAAAATTAATCCAGGAAAACCTCTCAATGCTTGTCATAATATTCTTTGTGCCATTTTAGATTTGTTTTTCCATTTTTATACTAATAGTTTCTCCAGTAAAACTGATTTTGGAACAAATAGTGAAATATAGCTAGCTATAAATATATAACCATATGTCATATATATATATATATTAACATAGCAAATGACTATTTAGCACCTACTATATACCAAACACTATTATGGGCACTGGGAATAGAGAAGTGAATGAGACAAACGTGTTTCCAAATTTTGGAGGAAAGACAAACAGACTAGCACATACAATAACACAAGGGTGCTATGATAGGGTCGGATGTCACAGGTACTAATCTGAGAAGAAGGCAGAGCACTTAACCTAGTCTGAAGGGGTGCATTCTCCAGTTGGTGGTGGTGTCAGGGTTTTCAAAAAGTGCATCCAAGCAAAGCCAACACCATGAAACAAAAAATAATCTTTCCAACAAAAGATGCTGGAACAACTGGACATCCAAAAATAAATGCAGACACAGACTTTATACTCTTCACAAAACTTAGCTCAGCGTGGATCACAGACTTAAATGTAAAATGAAAAATTATGAAACTCATAGAAGATACAAAGGAGAAAATCTAGATGACATGTTTGGTGATGAGTTTTTATTTCTAAAACTAAAGGCATGATCCATGAAAGAAAGAACGGATGAGCTGGACTTCATTAACATGAAGAACTCCTGCTCTGCAAAAGACAGTGTCAAGAGAATGAGAAGAAAGCCACAAACAGAGGAAACACTTGGAAAAGACATGTCTAGTAAAAGGCTGTCATCTAAAGTATGCAAAGGCCTCTCGATGAGCCAAAGACCTTAACAAGTTCCTAAACAGAAGATGTACAGATGGAAAATAAGCATAGGAAAAGATGTTCCACATCATAGGTCATCAGGAAAACAGAACTTAAAACAACAGTGAGATACCACTACGCACCTATTAGAAGAGCCAAACCCCAGGACCCTGGCAACACCAAGTGCTTCTCAGGCTGTGGAGTGACAGGGACTCTCGTTCTTCACTGGTGGGAATGCAGAATGGGACAGCCACTTTGGAAGACAGGTTGCCATTTTTTATAAAATTAAACCTAGTCTTCCCAGACAATACAGTAGCCATGCTCCTTGGTACTACCCAAAGGAATTAGAAACTTACATTCACACAAAAACCTGCATGTGGATGTTTATAATCATTTTATTCACAATTTCTAAAACTTGTAAACAGCCAAGATGCACTTTAGTAGGTGAATGGATAAATAACTACCCATTTATTTATCTGATGCATCAAGACAATGGAGTATTTATTAATTAGTGCTAAACAGAAATGAGCTATCAAGCCATGAAAAGACATAAAGGAAGTTTAATTGCATATTTCAAGATGAAAGAATCCAATATATGAAAAGCTACTGTATGATTCTAACTATATGACATTATGGGAAAAGGCAAAACTGTGGACACAGTAAAAAGATCCGTGGTTGCCAGGGCTTAAGGGGAAGCAGAGATGAATAGGCAAAGCACAGAGGACTTTTAGGGCATGAATCTACACTGTATGATGCTGTAATACTGGATACATATCATTTTGCATTTTTCTAAACCTTTATAATATACAACACAAAGCGTGAATAGTCATGTAAACTGTGGACTTTGGATGATAATGCAGTCAATTAATGTAGGCTCACAATTTGTAACAAATGTAACCACTCTGATGGGGATTAGTGATAATGAGGGAGAAGACAATGAGTTGGGGAGGACATCTGGGATATCTCTGTATCTTCTGTTCAAGTTTGCTGTGAACCTTAAACTGCTCTTAAAATTAGTCTGTAAAAAGAGTGAAAGTAGGAGGCCCCATTGTCAAAAAAGAGTGGCAACCCACTCCAGTATTCTTGCCTAGAGAATCCCATGGACAGAGGAGCCTGGCAGGGCCCATGGGGTCCCAAAAAGTCAGACACGATGGAGCGCTCATCGGTTGATATAGTACAGTAAACAGAGCACCATGTTAGTTGAGAACTGAGAAATGATTAGGACATGGCTAGATGAAAGAAAAAAAAAAGTAGGAATAAAATTCTGAACTGAGGGAATAGTATAGTGCAAAAAATTGGTGAGAGCCAGCAAGACATGTGGCTGGAGAGCTCTTCTCACTCACGCAAACAGCTGTTGCAGCGCATATTGTGTGCCAGCCACAGAGAGGCCAGGGTCATCCCTTTATGACAAAAGTCCTACCATGAAGGGGTTTGTAAGTAGTGCTAAGGGTGCAGAAGAGTAATGGAAGAAGTTTGGCATAATCTGCAGAGTGACAAATGGGTTTCTGGGGCTGGAGACTGGAAGCGAGATACCTGTCTGAAATTTCAGAATCTCGTTGAAGAGAATGTTGTCATAAACCAACTAAGAGTGGCTATGAGGATAGAAGAAGTGGACAAGTTTGAAGTAGCTGGTGGTTCAGGTGATAGAGAATCCACCTACAATGGGGGAGACCTGGTTTTAATCCCTGGTTGGGAAGATCCCCTGGAGGAGGGCTTAGCAACCCACTCCAGTATTCTTGCCTGGAGAATCCATCTCATGGACAGAGAAACCTGGTGGGCTGCAGTCCATGGGGTCACAAAGGGTTGGACAGACTGAGTGACTCAACACACAACAGAACACTTAGAAATTAAATCTATAGAACTGCTGATAGATTGGATAGTAGAAAGGACAGAAGGAATCATGGGTACTTTGCTTTCTTGTTTAAGAGCTGGGTAATTTACAGTAAGTGTAGTTTACTTAGAACAGTACAGAAGGAGAGACGTAGGTTGAGTAAGAGATATTTTTATTTTTGGTTACACTGAGTTCATAGAGCTTCCCTGGTGGTGTTAATGGTAAAAATAAATAAATAAGTAAATAAATCCGTTAGGGCTTCCCTCGTAACTGAGTGGATAAAGAATCTGCCTGCAATGCAGGAGACCTGGGTTCGATCCCTGGGTCGGGAAGATCCTCTGGAGAAGGAAATGGCAACCCAGTCCAGTATTCTTGCCTGGAGAATCCCATGGACAGAGGAGCCAGCAGGCTATAGTCCATGAGGTTGCAAAGAGTCAGACACAACTGAGCATGCAATCACATGCTCTGAATTCGTAGCACCTGTGAAAGTTCCAAGTAGAAATGTTAGATTGACGTCTTAGATTTTGGGTGTCAGGCTTCGAAGAGACAGCTCTTGTCATTTAGTCACTTGAGTTGTGTCTGACTTTTCTGACCCCATGGACTGTAGTCCACCAGGCTCCTCTGTCCTGGATTTCGCAGGCAAGAGTACTGGAGTGGGTTGACATTTCATTCTCCAAGGGATCTTCCTGACCCAGGGATCAAACCCACGTCTCCTGCATTGGCAGGTGAGTTCTTTGCCACTGAGCCACTTGGGAAGCCCAAAGAGAGAGCTCATATGGAGATTTAGATTCAGGAGTTAGCTTGCGTGTGGTCA